TGTTTATATTTAGAATCATACTGKGACACAGCTGCTCTGGGATAAATGTAATTCAATAAATGATAAAATACAAAGAATAAATAATTTTAAATGATTATATGAGCCGAAACCATCTAAATATAATCTTTTTGAATAAAATAGTATTTAAAAAAAATAAATCAATCTAACAAATAAAACATTTGCTCTGTGCAAAAGACAGATACAGCTGCTTATTTTGGAGAGTGTGGAAAGCTGGTTTAAACATGGCTAAAGATCTAGACGGCTAGACTACAGGAGTTGTACATCTCAGGGTCATGTGTAATCTAACAGACATTTTAACATGAAATGTTCAGTTTGAGATGACATATGCCCATGGGTCAGCCCATTGGCCACTTAGGTAGTTTACAAAATGTATGCAGAGTAAAAAATAAATAAAATAAAATAAAATAACTCTGATTTGGCATGATGTCCTAAGACATTGCCAGCTGATAGAAGGCGTCATAAAATGGAACAGGGTGATATTAAATGCCCTGACACCCCTCCAGATAAATATGCTAAATGAGTTAAGAAAATTATGAGCACCAAGCAACAACCCCAGGTTCTCCTCTGAGAACCAGACCATTTTTTATGTGCAACCTTGGCTATACAAGTAAAGTCAATTTACCATTTACCATTCCTTACATCTGTTGACAAGTAATCCAAAGTCAGTTACCGTGTATATCATGTTTAAAATATCAAAACTAGATTTTAGCAAGAWATTAGTTTGTTTGTGATTTAACTATTGTGTTTTTGCCAAACTAACACAACTTCCCTCAAGTTGTGCTTTGTTCAAAATGCTGTGAAGCATGTAGGAMCAACTCCTGTCCTAATCCCCTGCTGCCAAAAGTCAAATGAGTAGCAACAAAACCATAATGGCTGTTACAGCTAAGCAAATTTAAGAAATGCAAAATCGCTCAAAATTAGTCACTTTAGTAGTCAGTCACTAAAAATTGGTGTGATAGTCGTAACATATATAGTTCAACAAGTACTAAACATGTGGCGGCATCTTTGCTTTTAAACTTTGCCATTAACTATGGGAGTCAACTATAATCACTTTCAGAAAGCATGCTACATGGCAAACTGGAATTAATAGCTTTCTGCACAGAAAGACAAAAAACTAATCTCAAGGAGAGGTCAGAAATCTTTGTTAAAGAATTTGACTCATATATCTGTAGCACAACTACTGTATCATTTCACCTGATGGATACGAAGCTCCCAAAATATTCCAACAGGTTTGTCCCTCGCCACGATGATGAGCTGGAGCTGGAGGTGGATGACCCGTTACTGGTGGAGGTCCATGGGGAGGATTACTGGTATGAGGGCTACAACATGCGTACTGGAGCCCGAGGGATCTTCCCTGCCTACTACGCCATGGAGGTGACCAAGGACAAGGAGAGCTCTATAGGTATGAACTTTGTTAGTATTTGTAGTTGGACAAGTCAGATTTTGTTAGCAGCAAAACACCATATATGTCAAACTGTAGAAAAAAAAACGCTGGACTCGTTTTCTGCTCAGGTTATATAATGAAAAAAGTGAATATTTTGCTCTTATTCAAACAAATTCACATTATCTTTCAATCACATTACATGAATGATTTAATGTMATTTGTAAAGGATGTTTTTAAAAGCCTCTGAAACATCACTAATGTTCGAAAAGACGCTAAAACTGTAAATGTTCTTGTTTGCCTGAGTAACAAATGGCTTGGTTTCATGAAGTTTAACCAATTTTTATGTGCATCTTAAAGATTGACATTAAACAATGAAAWTAAATACATTTAAAATAATGAATAAAAATCTAGATCTTCCATTTTTTATAGGAATAGGCACATGACTCATGGGATTGTTCTACTGTTTCTGCTTCTGGAAGATAAGCCAAGATACCTGATGCACATAATGTCTTCTTTTGCATAAAACCAATTTAAATCTGGTTTGAATGGCAAATAGATGGAAATATGTCTTGAATAATTAGTGTATTACACTGTAGTTAGCGAAACTAAAACAGAGAGACTCACCTAGTCTAGGTCCCACCTACAGATTCACTAATAATGATGGGCAGCTGATAAAGTTCTGAATTTGTTTGATTATTCAAGTTTTTTCCTCCATTTAGATAAATGTTGGAAAAAATTCTTGTGCAAAATTTTAAAATAAAAAATAAAAACTGATGCAATCTGGAAAAGTTTACTAACAATCAAAATGTTTCTATCTCTTTACATGTAATACTGAAATCTAAAGTCTATAAATAGTTGCCATATGCTAAACTGATTCTTGATGATAGTGGTATCTGGTTTATTGGTGCCTATTTTCCTCTCTTTGCAGTGAAGAGCAGTGAATGGATGGACAGGTATCGCCTGAAGTTTCTGGGATCAGTTCAAGTGCCCTGCCACAAAGGAAATGACGTTCTGTGTGCAGCCATGCAGAAGGTAGAAGGGCGCGTTTTACGTATTTGAGTGTTTGCATGCAAAAACCTTTGCATAGAGCATAATTTAATATTTTATCTTGTCAACTTGACAGAGTTGCATCGCAACTTAAAMGATCTTTATTTTGCCACCCGTCTTCCAGATTGCCACCAACAGAAGGATGACTGTAAAGTATAACCCGCCTTCCTCCTGTATCCTGGAGATCAGTGTCAAAGGTATCAAGCTTGCTGTTCAGGAGGACTACTATACATGTGACCGAGTAAGATCCTTTTTGTTCCTCTGATTTTAAAAATGCATTTGCTTTAAATTTAACTTCATGTGTATTAAATGTCTTTATTTTCTGACCAATTGTTTATATTTTCTTATATATCACTTTACAGTGAGCGTCTGAGAAATTTTACACAGTGAAATGTTGTGAAATTTAAATCCACATATATGTTTTTTGTTTTGATAGAGCAATGAGTGCAGCCACTTCTTCCAGCTAAAGAACGTCTCTTTTTGTGGCTATCACCCTAAAAACAGCAAGTAAGTGTTTTTTTTTTTTTAAGATTCTTTTGAACTCTGCTGTTTATTTGTAGAAACTTGTTTTTACCACTAGGTGTCATTGAAAAAAATAAATGCTTTCTAAGGAACAGAATGAAACACACCAAACTGTCGAGTAGTATAAATAGGTGCTGAGCTGATATCTTGAAAGCCCTTTTCTTTTCTCTGCAGGTATTTTGGTTTCATAACAAAGCACCCAGCAGACCAGAGATTTGCCTGCCATGTATTTGTGTCTGAAAACTCAACCAAGCCTCTCGCAGAGTCAGTAGGGTGAGTTCACATGTGCTGGATTTGACTTGAGCTTGAAATAAATGCAGCCTCGTGAATGGAACAAACTGTCTTCTATTGTTGCATGAAGTGAGTTGACTTGTCGTCTTCTGATAGTTTTTATAGTTAAGGGATTAACCCTTGCACATGACCTTCTCACAAAGGTCAGCATGGCATGCAGGTAGTGTCATGTGGCTGAGCGTGCATGTTGAGCAATATTTATTCTGCACATTGCCCTCCAGCAACAAGACAATGTGAGCTTGTTCTGCTTGTTATTAGTAAAAATAAACTTCTTACTTTTTTCCACAGCAGATTTAATAATGTTCACCTAATTTAAATAGCATAATTTATACTGCATTTTTATTTTTAAGTTGGAAGATGAGAATTATAAGAACAAATCGGAATAATTTTGTTCCCAAAACTGGGATCAGACACCACTGTGGTGCCAGTTGGGAGTCTTGGCATAATCTCAAGCACTTAAATTGTGAATAAAAAATGAATCACAATTAAATGTTTTGTTATAATTAATAAAACAAGAGTAGTCAAAAATAAAAACAAATGGATCATAGTTGTTGGGGATGTTTCATTCTAGCTTTGTTTAAATTGGCTTTGAGACATTCATGTGCTTCAAGCAGCTTCATCAGTTGTTTGGTCAGCTGTTTATATTCAGTTAATATAGAAACATTAGACAAGTATCCAATAAAGTTAGCTTTTTTATGTAAAATCCAATTTTAGATTTTAGGTTAGATTTTTTTTAATTATTTCTGCTCCCTTTCATTTAATGATGTTGTGTCTGTGTTGTGCTAGAATTTGTTTTGTTCTTAATTAAATTGAATAAATAATAAAGAAATTTTCACCCATTGGTTCAAATACTGATTTAGGCAGTTTTAAGGCTGTAAATAACATTTTTTTCTTTCTTTCTTTTTTTTTTACATTTTTGTTTTTAGGAAAGCCTTCCAGTTGTACTACAAAGAGTTTGTGGAATTCTCGTGCCCAACAGAGGACATTTATCTGGAGTAACCCCATCCACCAACAATAACCTGTACAATACACTGTATCATAACAWATTGTTGCATGGTGGACTGATTTCTAAATTAAAAATAAATAACATAACTGACAAAAAAAGAAAAAAAGCAGGAGCTGAGTGCAGAATAATGATATGGTGTGCAGGAAGAGGAGATACAAATAAGCCAAAGGATATATT